CGCCGGAACTTTGCCGGATTTTTGGGAAACGACGGGATTCTGCAAAACTTTGTAAATTTGCTTCAAGTTGTAATTTGATCGTCCCGATTTGTGGGACGAATCAATTTCTTGTAATTTACAAAAACGCTAGTGGAATTTTACAACTGGGCGAGGCCCCGTGGTTTTTTCCCTTTTTGAGTTTTCTACGTATAAATCCCGATGTTCTTTCATTTTCCTGTTTGTGTGTTAAATATACGTGTAACGCTCGAACGCGAATTTACAAACTCTACCGCCGCATATTTTCTAGCACGCAACCGTTATTATTTTTCTAATAATAGGGTATGGATTACAAGTATTGAAGCTCATTGAATTATGAGTCATATGATTAGTAGACTCTAAATCTATGATCTAAGAGTTATTGCATGGGAAATCAGAGGCACTAAAAGCAAAAGAAAAATGGTACCAAATTGAGTTGATGAGCATGAATAGTAAAGGAAGTATAAAAGATCTAAGAGTTTATTAATTTTATCCTTCTTCAGGTTTCCATCTTAATGGGGATTGGGTTTATCATGAGAAAGTCCATTACCACAATATCCTCCATTCCACTTGAATACAAGTTTTCATATGAGAATAATAATTATCCCTTATACGATGAGGTATTTTCGATATGTGCACAATATTTCTTCTCATTTTAACTTAGTACTATATGATTTATTGCTTTGTGTCAGATTTCTCCATTTACCTTAATTAGCTTTGAACTTTCTAGCAATCATAACTGAGGAACCATATTATAGGAGTCCAACATCACACTTCCACTTTCCTATGCACGGATTAGGATAAAAGCTTCATTATGATAGTAATGTCTCTATTCCCGGCACTAGTATTTAAATTTGATCAAAATCAACAATAAGATTGCCCATTAATTCAAAAATTCTTAGCCTTTTCTACAAATGTCTTCAACATATGATACCACCACAAGACAAAATCTCTTCATTAGATCACAGTATTATATGATAAAATGAGTATATTGTTTTGCTGATAATATCCTCATCTTTATTTCATAGATAAAGACAGCATCTTGCATTTTAGAATATGTTTAATGAATGATTTCCCATATTTCCCAAGCAAAAATTAGGAAAAAGCCGTTTCCACTGATTTCTAAAGGAATAGAATTCCAAAATCATAACATGATTATGGAGTCTTCCTTAATCCAAGTGTTGAACATTGGATTTTCTAGATCTAGCCCCTATTTTAGTTAGCTGATTTGGCTTCCCCTCCCTTTTAAAATGTATTCGCAATTTATGATGAATGGAGAAAATTTCTTATGTTCAAACAATATCTAGAGTTAATCCAAAGAGTTTTAAACCAGCGTTATAAAAAGTTCATTGATGCATGCACGTAAAAGTAAACCAGTTAATACGATAATGAAAAAATTAGATGTAGCAATTGAGAAATCCAAAGAGTTCATAGAAGTAAAGCAACCCAAAGCTGATGTAGGCGGGGGGGTTCAAAACAAGTTGATTTTAAATTTTGGCGAGCTTCTAAAATCAGCTCATTAATGAGCTTCTTCTACTTATATTTCAGCTCATAAATGCTTTCCTACTACTTAATTTAGCTCATAAATTATCTTTATTTGGTTCATTTTGTCTCTTTGATTTCTTCACTTGCCTCTTCACCTCCCCTTGTCTATTTGTTTTCTTGTGCTGGCTATTTTCACATGCCTTTGTCCTTTGGATTTCCGTGAATGGCTGTTCGGTTTCCTGTGCTAGGTGGCTTTCCCGTGCCTTGGCCCTTTGGTTCCCACGGATGGCTTCTTGGTTCCTGTGCTGGCTGGCTAATTCCCGTGCCTTTCCCCCTTGGTTCCTGCGGCTGGCTCCTCAGTTCCGTGCTGGGCTGCTCGGTTCTGCGGTTCCTTGCTTGGTTCCGTGGATTTCTTTTCTCTGTTTTTGCTGTGCCATTTGGGGACTGATGTGGTGGCTGTTTGGGGGGAATTCCATGAGTTTTTCCCTGATTTCTATGCAGTTTTTCTGCTGCAATTTTTGCTGTTTTGGGACAGATTTCTGGACTGTTTCTGGACTGAAATCTGGACTGAATTTTTGTCCTTTCAATTGCTCTTTTTAATTGAATTAATTAGTAGTTATAGTGGCTATTTAGCTCCCCTTTCTTGCATATAAATAGGAGATGTTTAAAAGAGAGTGAAAATGTTGTTTTTGTAATGGAAAAACTGAAGGTTTTTCTTGGAAAAGCTTGAGAGCTTTGTCCGCTTCTTCTTTTTCTTCTACTCTTTGAGAAAGCATGCGAGCTTATCTCCCTTCCATCTCGGCTTCTAATCTCTTTCGTCTCTCTGCAAGTTTCATTCCACCAGTATCATTCTTCTCAAAGCAACGATTAGCAAGCAACTTTAGGCGTCCTTCTTCTCAAAGCAACGATTGGCAAGCAACTTTAGGTGTCTTTATGTTTCCAAGTTTGTAAGGTGTTTATGCCAAAGTTTATGTGTCGTTTGTAAGTCCTTTTATAATATTAAAGTTATGTTTTGTTTTGTGCAAGTGTTGTCGCTTTATCTTATGTAATTTTTTTGTAGTGTTTTGAGTATATTTTAAGTTATAGGAAGAGTTTCATTTGCTTGCAAAAATTTGGGGCCCTCTCCCAAAGCATTCGAAGAGCAAACTTTGCTTACAGAAGAGTTTCACTTTAACCCAAAGCATTGGAGAGAAATAAAACGCTCTTTGAAAAAAGGAAGAGAATGCTTAGCTTAAAATCCAAAGCATTCGAAGAGCAAACTTTGCTTACAGAAGTTATTTTAATAACATAGTTGTTTTTTACCCTTTTGTGATTTGCTTGGTTTTCTTTCATTACTATTTTTCTTGTTACAACCCTGATTTGATCATACTGTCATTTAACTACTTATCTCCAATTGTTTTGTATTTCTTCATTTAGTTTAATTAAAAGAAAAATTACAATTCACTTTAAATATAGATTTATAGTTCATATTGATTTCTAGCTTATGAGGAATTCATAATTTTTTTATATTCTCCAAGGAAATAATATTGTTCACAAACAAATTTAAATCTTCAAATGCCACCATAACATATCATCCATATTATCTAGTAATAGTGCCTTGATAAATTCATTATTCTACCATATTTGACTTAATTTTTTGGCTTATCATAATATGTACTTAATTGACATGATAAAAAAGATTTTCTCAAGCTTTGCTACATGTTATTAGTATAACTATAGAAAAAATGTAGGATGCACTTAAATTAATCAAAGCACTTTACTTTTTTGTTATGTACTTTGTAGAACAAAAGTTTGTGTGTTTCGCCTTATGCATCGCACTTCTGAAAAATTATTTTCAATCATAGAATCGTCACTTGTATGACCAACATTAAATTTGTATCTTTTCATAATGATTATGAATATGCTTGAAAAAATATGCAAAACGAAGTACTTAGATGATGTTATTTTCACATGGTATAACTTAGATAGGTGAGAGCCCTCCTAAAAAAAGTAATATGTTAGAATACTTATGAAAATTTATAAAATATAAGGGTTGGGGACTAACACAAAACTTGAGTACATGGTAAATAATTTTAGTGAATATAATTAAGTATAAGTCAATATTGAGTTTCCTTCAAAAATAGCAAGCATAACTATGTAGGCTAATTTTAAGATACTTTCATGATAAAAAAACTAGAATCTTCATTTGATTACTCTTACATGTTTTAATATATCTCTACAGCTCTCATCAATAATTTCTATTAATACTCTAATTTCAATTCAAATTTGGAACTTGCATGTTATATGGCAATGAAAATTGTCCATTTCTTATTGTGCCAAAGAGTTTGAAAAGACAATCGTGAAGAAGGTCCCGAGTCTATGTCGCGAGCAAAAGTCTTATGATTCACTTTGCTAAGAGTGAATTTGCAAAAACCCTTTTTTGCTTGTTACTGGTGGCCTTGAACATTGGTCGGCACTACACTTCATGCTGGTTAGTGGTGGCTTTGAACATTGGTCAGCAGTACTCTTCATGCTTTGGTAAATTTTATACAAGATGAACACAACTCCTTTGCAATCACACCTATTGACTTACATAATATAGTGTGATAAAAAATGAGGAATAACTTCTAGAGTCAAAATTGTGTAATTTAGTTGGGAAAATAACACAAGAGCAATATGCAGTAAGAGATGATCATAGAGATTAAAGGTAAATTTGATAAAATAAACAATCAGACCGATTATGTTATGTGAATCCATATTGGACGAGGAACAATTCATTAATAGTCAAGCTAAGTATGACAAAATTAAGAATGTTAAAATGGACAAAGTAAAATCAGAAAGAATATAAAGAGAAATAATTTTATTAAAGAGAATATGGAAGAATAGCCTATTGAAGAAGAGGCAATCAAGGCTAGACTAAGTGGTTTGGCAACGTCCAACAAAAGCGAGAGGATAAGTAGATATTGTCATTAAATCCATGGAGCTATTGATTAGGAAAAGGGTATAATAAAGACAATATTGTTGAAAGTCATGCAAAATATGTATAAAGTAGGTTTAAAATCTCATAAAGCATTTGGAGAAGAACTATTTATAAACCCTGGCTATGCGGTTTATTAATGGTTTTATACGAAAAATGATATACACCAAAAGAAATGTCATCCAAAAACCATCAAAATTGCATGTTCCTATTGAAGATAACTGACTGTGAACCACAGGTGAGCTATCAATGGCCATGAATGTCGTTGGGAAACTTTTGTTTGGAAAGTTTAGCATTGCTCCTTACAGATAGCACAACACTCGGCACCATGACAGTAGTTTTGGTCATATAACTAACAAATAAATTGTCATAGGCTTTTTTGTATTATATAAACAATCAAATATATGTGCTGTAATATTGGATATATGGAACAAACAGGAGCAACCAAATGACACAAAATTGAAAGTTTTGTTATCGCATTAACAAGAATCGGAAGACTTGTACAAAGAATATGAGATTATATGTAACATAAAAAAATTATTACCTCCGCTCTAACTCTGCAATATTATCAACTTGAGTCTGATTGTATTGCACCAACTCTGAAAACAAAAATGCAAATGCACTCAGGCTAACCTGCAAAATAGAACATTGGGCATTATTCCAAAAATGTATGTCTTAATAAATTCAATGTATCTTTCAGAATTTTCTAAGAAATCTCATTAATAACTGATCTCAATCATTCATATTTATATAATATATTTATACATTATCTGTTTCATTTTCTCAGAATTTATTAGAATAAAGCATTAGTACCATCAAAACAGTAAGATAATTAAAAAAGAAAAAAAAAAGAATGAAAGAGCAATAACCTAGCATTTTAACCTTTTAAATGGGTAAGTACCCAGAGGAGGGCATTTGTTCTCTTTTGTTTTCTATTTTTTTGTATTCAGGGCTATAGGGGAAAGACCATACCATCATAGTTATAAAAGGTTTATGAAAGTCAAATATTCACTTTATGTAATGACAATCTAGATCATTTCTATTTAATTAATTCAGAATTTGAAGTCAAAGTTATGCAAAGATCATCATTATTGATTTCATCAACAGCATTATCCATGCAAACCGTTTAGATTCTAAAGTTTGTGCAAGTCCAAAATCGATTAAAATTTAATCAAAGTTTGCACACAAGTCCAAGTCCAAAGTCAATTGCATATTTGCACAAGTCCAAATTCAATTTAAGTTTAACCAAATTAGTGATTCCATGGGCTTGTAAATTGTAATGACTCTTTAATATGGTTGGGATTTGAAATTCAAAATAGCACACTTAATTTTGAACAGCCTCAAACATGGTGCACAGATTGATTGTTGTAAATGTCAAAATCATCACACCATTTCAAACTAATATAGGCTTGACACATGTAAACCTTGAATAACAAAGGCCTCATAGGAATAACTCGAGTTGAATCAAATTATTATTCAAAATCAACAACAAACTATCCTACAAGAAGGTTACACAATAACGAAAGAATATACCTAGATATGAACTCTTTACAAAAAAGGAGGAGACGGAATATGATGAAAGTAGAGGGAAAAAATACAAAGAATTTATTATATTGCTTAAATTGTGAACTACCCCTAAATGGTTCGAAGAAGACCTATTTATATGCACAAGCTATGCTACAAGAATCCTTTAGGTGACTGTGATAAGTAAGCTCATGTCAATAGAAGCTAAGTGATTAAGGGAGAAGGAGCATGTGTCAAACCAATAGGGCACTGGGTCTAGCATGTTGATGTTCTTTCAGACGGCAAGTCTGACATGAGGCAATAGCTTTTACTTAGTGATAGGGGTGTAGTGCATGATATCATTGGAATAGATAAGAGAAATATTAAGAGGTGGTTTCATACCATACTACAAGATACTGAATGTCGATTACGCATTAGCATGAACAAGCAATTTTAATTGTAAATATTATGGGTTGCAAGCAATCAATCCTACGATGAGTTAAGAGGACTGATAGAGAGCTAGGAAGTAAGCATGCAAACAGGGATGCATTGGTCGGTCAAGGAAGGAAATCGATCAATCCCTAAGAGTCAAAAGGGGATGAAGACTAACTAGGGTAAGCATGACTTATGGTCAATTTAACAGGTTGAAAAAAGTTGCACTAAAGAGAATAATTAGATGCTAGTGAGCATATTGAACAAACTACTGGAATGTGTTGTTAATTTCATAATTTGGACACCAATATTTGATCAATCATATGGGGCCCAACGAATATAGATCATGGCAATGTTCCATCCTCAGATGTTGATGGTTGGGATTAAATATGAAAAAAGATTTGTTAACCTTCTAAACTAAACTAGCACCATTCTCAAAATAGATTACTCAAAAATAGCCACTTGGTTCGATTCATCAAATCTATAATACATTGAGTGAATAAAAAACTCCTCGAGACAGCTAAATAATGACGCTCATGAAATGAAGTAATTTTCAAAAGAATCTCCTAATTAATATGAACTCTTTAGTTTATTTAAAAAAAAGTAGGCACAATTACTTTGCCAAAAAAAAAGGAATCATTGGATAGTTTATCTTTATTTGATCTAGGATTGGACACCCTACCACTTGGGCACATATATTAATACCAAGGAGGGGTTTTTTTTTCTCCATAAGGGTTGTTCCTATGTTAAATAAAAGCAAAGAGAACATTCTCTTAAGAATTGGAAGGAATGTATGAAAACAAAAAAATGAATTTAAATGGGTCATAAGAGTATTTCTTTCATTTATTTTTGGTTACATTGCAAATCTTGGCTTAACTTGCTAAGCATTCGATCATTGAACTATTCGTATAAAAAAATGATATTAGCATATGGTGCTCTCGTTGAAACTTGTTGATGTAAAATCTTCCTCAAATGGAAGAATTTTAGGATTTGTAATTGAATTATTATTGATTGATGGTAAACTAAATATGGTAATTTGTGAGGTCAATTGAGTGCTCATGAGATCTATGTTGTGTTTATGGAGTTCTTTCTCTTACTTTCTTCATCAATTTAATTGATGCAATACAGATGAGGCCAAATCATCCCATAAAGCTCCAATTTATCATAGGTCAATCACAAGAAGTTAAATTGATCCAAAATAAAATTGAATTGGGTCTATTTTAAAAGTTTTTTGGGCTCATTTTAATACATGTTCCAATTTCTCTTTTTAAATTTGATTTATTTTATTAGATTTTTTATCTTGTTATGGATAATATTATGTTTAAATTTGAACATTTATTAGATTTTTGATCTAATTAGATTACCTTTCAAATATTTGTCCTTATTCATATAACACTATTCTTAAAGAGACATATGGTTTGTAATTGAATTATTATTAATTGAATATAAATGAAATATAATTATTTGTAAGGCTAATTGAGTGCTCCTAAGATCAAATTTGTGTGTGTAGATATCTACAAATTATATACGTATTTTTTTTTCTCTTCCCCTCTCCAAAAATTTTGATATCCAAGCAAATATATTATAATTTTGCTCTTGATTTTGAAATACTATCCTGATCTTCGTTTGCATCTTGTTGACCAATTATATTACTGAGCCCAATGCCCCATCACCACCTTTTCCACATGCCACAACTCCAATTGCTCATGTTGGCATCTCACACACACATAAATTGCTCATTGTTCCACTTGTTCATTACCCACAGCATGTGAACTACTCTCAAACCCTAGTCTACAAAGCAAATGCACCACGTATCTCTCAACCGTAACAAAATCTACAATATCCACAACTTGCAACATACTCTTGTAAATGAACCACACACAAAAGCTAGCCTAGTATCACAAACCGCACGTCGCACAAGAATCTTAAATGCCAACTAAAAATGGGGAAAAGTAATTCAGCTTTCACGTGATTTTTGAGCATTTGATAGGAGAGACCATTCAAGACTTCACACTTAACGAGGAGTAATCAATGCAATGATTCAAACAAATGTTTCAAATTCTAAATAAATAAATAAAGATAGTCCAATATCACATTACAATTTTATGAAATTTCACTTACAATGAAGTAAAAAAACTTCCATCGAGCAATACCAAAAAAATAAAATGCAAAAAGTAACAATCTATCTAGATTGATAATAGTGGGATCAAACATTCAATTGAACATGACCCATGTGATCCCTTAACTCCTTAGAGTAGTCTATATAAACATGTTGGGCTGGGTTAATTGTAGGGCAGACTTGCCATCTACATCACAACTATTGCTATTAACTCAATGATATGAAAAAGAAAAATAGCCATAATATGTGGTTAGCAACAAGTGATAATATCAAGATAATCATAGTAGATAAAGCACATGAGTTATTTCATACCTCAAATAAAGGGCCTAGCATTCAAATATTTAATCAGCAAGTTCACTACATGTTGATTGATGAAAGATAACACAATTACAAGTTGATCAGGGTCAAAAGCCACAAAGATCAACTTAAACCAAGCCATTTTGAGAGCAATGTTTAAGTCTTCTACCTTTACAAGGCACTCGCTCAAAGAGGTAGCAAAATCTTCCATTTTCTCAAGTCACTTAAATAATAAAGCATTAAATTCCTCTAACTTCTCAAGAAGCTCCCTCAAAACATAATTAAGTTCATCAACCTTCTTAGACCATTATTTTAGCATCTCAAGTTTATCAAAAGAAACTCTCTAGTAAAAAATGCAAATTTTGACTTCAAATTAAGTCATAAAATTTGCAACTTGTGGCCCAAGAAGGTGACTCTTTGCACTAGAAGAGACACCCCCTCCTTCATTAAGGAAATCCCTTTATAGGATCAATCATTTGAGCAAGTATGATTCTCATGATCTAAACTTCTTGGGGTGTGGAGGCTCAACATGTTGGGTTGGGAGAGAGTCATTGGGGGCATGAATCATTTGCTTCATAGCTATTACTATTACCTTGTCGATTTGAAAAAGGGCAGATGGGCATAATTTTTGGATCATTGAAAATGCCAATATCAAGATAATCATAGTAAATGGTTAGGAACATGCCTTCATTTATACCTCAAATAAAGATGTTATCATTCAAAACTTTATCTTTATGTCCACTATGTCCACTATGGGCTGAGTGACAACAAATGACTCATTTCCACAACAATCGAGCTTAAAACAACATGCATAATGATCTTATTAGTGTATATTAGAATTGCAACATTGTCTATTAGGTATAGAATCAACTAAAATAGGCTTTGGAAATACCTGAGACTACAAGCCTAAACACTAATTTGAGACCTATCAAATGGCTTGATTGCATTCAATATCAAAAAAACTTAGAAAAATATCAAACATGAAACATGATCTTAAGGTTCATGGTAATACATGATTATATTCTTGTTGTTGGTCATCAAGTTGTGCTCGGGCATCATATTGAGCCTAAGCAATAGCGCCTAATGATTTTGCTCTCTTACATCTTGTGATGGAGTTACATGATGCTCCCTAATTCCCTGGAATGTTGTAAGTTCCCTCACAATTCCTAATGTCAAGTTTGTGTTTTAACCATTGTCACTTCCAATCATTTACAGATGCAAAACTTTTGAATCTTGTCACATGTGTATTGAATTGTGCAATCAAGCCACAAGATGCACATGAATCAGTTCTGCTATCACCACCTGCATGGTCGCCATGTTCAAACTCTTCAAAGAGGACTTTCTTTTAGACCGGTTGGAATGACATCTGACCAATGCAAGGTATAAATTTCTTTAAAATCATATTACAGAAAAAACTATATGTTATGAAATATTCTTGTTTATTTTATTTTATGTTTGAATCGATTAGTCTTTCTATTGGTTGGGGTATTTTGATCATAATATATAATCCTATCTAGATATAGGGCTCTACTCGTGCTAGGTGTATGTGTGATGGTTTTTTAATGAAAATTGTGATGGTAGCTCTGTTGACTTTTATCCATTCTTAATTTAAGAAAATAAGATAATTTTTTAATTAAATATAATAATGAGTCAAAAAACAATACGAGATTTCCTCTTTTTAGGCTAGACTCTAGAGAAATGGAAATCAAGATGTGGGAAGATTCCTTCTTAACACAGCCGGTTGATAAGAAATGCTCATACTTCTTCTTCATGGCTTCAACAGAACCTCTTCGTGGCTTCTACAGAACCTCTTCCCAGTATGCATATCTTTGTTCTCTTTGTTGCTTATTTGTATATGTTCATGGGTTAAAGGACTGTGATTTACAATACTTTCATCAGAACTTACTGCAATATAAGAGAAGAAAGTGTCATTTAAGTAACCTTGGAAGCAACAGCGGCTAAGAGATTGTTCTCTACTTTAAGGGTAGAGGCTACTATCAGTAGTCACGCTTATTTTCTTTCGCTATAGTTATATTATTGTTTCAAAAAATAATTTGATTTATGAATAATCTATTTTTCGATTATATAAGTTTTGCTTAAACAATTCAAACAAGTTTTCCACTCATCTCCCCCTTTGGCTTGCCCTTCCTCTCCCTTTCTTCGACCTCCCGGCCCATAGGCCAATTTCCTTCGCACTCCCTCCCTAACTCTGAGTCTCTCCCCCATCTTCTCCACGGTAAAAGCACGTATTTAAGTGTCGCATCTTCATCAAAATTTGATGCAACTGAATAAAACCATAAGTAACATTTTGTGATGATCTGTGCTGAGAATGAGATAGACTAACAATGGAAAAAAAAAAAAAACTGACCTCTTGCCTACCCTTGCTGAGGGGCTTCTCAAGCACGCTTGAGTATTGTTTGATCTTCCCGCCAACGCCGATCATGGTTTATCCCAATATCTCAGATCCAAGAAAATGCAATCCGAAGACGAGAGATCTGATCCGATATCAATCGGGAAAAGTAAGCAACTTAGGGATCAGCGCACTTGATCCTTACTCAGGGACTGCTTGGTAACGAGATTTAACCACAATTTAGGGCTTGCTTGCTCTGTCACCATCACCTCTAGTTTCGCAAGTTCCTTTTCTCCTTCACGCGCCGTGAACTCCTCTACACCCTCCCCAAGCGAGCTCCAGCAGGTGACGACTTCTTCCTTGCGCCAGTCGGTTACGCGTTGCACCAGCGAGGCCCTTCGGCACGATAAATATTTTTTTTTGAGACTGGCTCAAAAAAATTCTTAAGCTAACAAAAACTAATTAAAACTAATATTTTGTTTGATACTATTTGCATTGATTAGTAGGTGAATGGCAATTAAGTTAATGAATGAAAATTTCAAAAAAATTTATCAAGATTGTATAACTAAATATCCATAAAACCCAATTCAAGTCAAATTAGTCAAGTCCAAACTAAGACTTTGTTTGAAACGACTTTCTTTCTGCTTCTTAAAACAACTTTTTAGTACAAAATTTTTTATTTATGTACTAGAAAGCTGTTTTATGAAGCATTAAAAAAGCCATCTCAAACGAAGCCTGAGTCATTTCAATCCAAGTTGATATAATTTGGATCACTCAACCTTAATTGAAAGTAATTTATCAGTCTTCCAACGAACTCACCTAAAGTTAGCAATTTTTGAGGTGAGTACAACATATCAAGTTGACCTCTACGATTATGCAAGCAGACAATGAGATTCAAACAGAGAACCTCTTAGTTGGGAGCCAAACTCCTAACTAACAAATCAATGAGAGCTGCGTATAATTATTTTTTTAAGTAATCTTGTATATTAAAGTAAATTTTATATAATTACTTTTTTGTCATGTCTAAAGGATTATATAGTCCTATATTATGGCCAGAATTTTATGATAATTGAATGAAAATCATGATAGATGTTCTCCTCTTCTCTCCCTCCTTAGATTGGCCTCTCTTATCCATTTCTTACTTGTCATCCCCTCTATCTAAGTTGATTATCCTTCTTGCTATCTTTTCCTCCCAATCATTTCCCTTTTTTTCAATCAATAATAAATTCAAGAACACATTATTCTCACCACATTTTTATTATTTGGTATTTGAGCATATGTTAAAATATGATGTGAACATTCATACTTTAAAGAAGAATCCGCTTCTACCTTCTCATAATGCTCTCCATAGAAAAGGTGTGTCTACCTCAATCTCTTCTTCTTCTTCTTCTTCTTCTTCTTCTTCTTCTTCTTCTTCTTCACCTTCATTTGCTTTTAAACTTTTATACCACAACTACTATCACCATTTTCCTACTTCAAATCAATTTAACAAATAGGCCCCCTTTTTTGGGTAATATCTCTACAAAATTCTTATTTGCATATTTTGTATGTTAATTTGTGTTTACTTCACTTTTTTATTGATGCAAGTTTATTTGAATTGACCTTATTTTAACCTTTGTTGCCATTTGATCACTTGTTACATTAATTATGAGAGATGGTACTCCAAATAGCTTAAATTCAACCTTCTAAAACCAATGGGTGTTCAGAGCCCAAATGATTTAGTTATATTGGGCTTAAGTGTTTACATTAAATGAAGTAGGCAAGTAGACTCACCATCTACAATCAGATCCTACAAATTTAATAATACTCAGTGAATCCCTTAGTTATCTTAGATAAGCTTAGTTAACTTTAAATTATATTTAAAACTTTTGGTAACCTAATTATTATGGACTTATAAATGACTTAAATTCTCTTGTAGGTATATCATCCATTCTTCTTTCATCTCCTTAAACCTCATAGCTCTAGTGGAGACCACAATGCAATGATTTCATGGGGCATTGGACCATTCTAAAGCTTAGCATGCCTAACCTTAAACTTGAGGTGATATTAGAGTGACCTAGGGGTGTAAGTGAGCCAAGTCGGCTCGAGCTCGACTCGTTTATGGGTTTGCGAGCTGAGCTTATCGAGCTCACGAGTCGAGCTCGAACTTGAGTTCAAGCTTGAGCCGGATCGGATCGTGAGCTCGCGAGCCGACTTGAATAAATATTAATATTTTTAAAATAATTTATTTTATTTATTAAATTTAAGATGAAAAAAATTAATAAAAATCACAAAAGTTTTATTTAAATTTTAAATATTTCATATTTTTTAAAAATTTTGACTAAGTTTTAAAAATCCCGTTTATGTTTTAAAAATCCCGCCTGGTATTTAAAAATCCTGTCTAAATTTAAAAATTCTTGCCCATGGCTCGCGAGCCGGCTCTAGCTCGTTTACAGAGAGACGAACTCGAGTTCAAGCTCGCTTTCCAACTAATGAGCCAAGCTCGATAAGGGTCTAAACTCAATTCATCTCCACTTGTTTACACCCCTAGAGTGACCCATATCTTAATAACCCAACTAAATCTTACCCAAGTCCTAGATAATTGAACCCACCTAGTTAAAACCTTGTTATTAACCAAGCACAGTTAACCCAAAAGCATGTTAATTGTGAATAGTTGAGAACATGTTATACTATGGACCCTCCATTGGACTCAAATGAGCCTAATTAAACTTTTGACCCTTAACATTGATGAGTAAGCCAATCTAGCTTAATCCTATAGACCCAACCAATAAACCTTATCTAGCCTAAACTATAATCTTATAGACTTTAGTTAACTATAATCTTGTATATCTAGGTGATCTCAGTGAGGCTCGAGATTTAGCCCACACTAAACTAGACATGCCTTCCCCCACACTACACTCGTCCCCACTCCTCCACCTCAATGTTGCTTCGTCTATTTGACCAAATTGGCTAAGGTGACCTATATAATTAAGATTCACCCCATGACTCGTGTTTAACACTTATCTTTTCTAGACTTATCATTTTACTAGCCCTATGTTAACTATATTTGACCCAAGTTTAGCATAAAATGATCAAAAGTGGGCTATTAGGGTCGGCTAAACTTAAGTGACCTTACGTAAACCCAAGTCCATTATAATTAGACACATGGTATAATAGATGACCTATTAGACCTTATGATTGACTAGACAAAAATTAAGCTAATATTGAGCCCAAATTAGCTTAATTAGACTCTTAGTTACCACTACGCTTAATTGGCTTTATCCTTGGCTTCACCGTCATTTGAGTTTAAAAGCTTAACATATATCTTAGGAGAAAATGTTATCTAGTTGACGGTGATTACTCTTTTTTTTTTTTTTAATTATGTCTCCATATTGTTTCATAAGATACCACCTGGCATAGTTTAGTGATATCAATCCTACTAATAATAGTAAATGGCCATTCAATATTCATTGTTCATCACTATGCATGCCCAAATTTGGAGTTTTCATTTGGCTCACTAAAGAATAGTTTTGTAATTATAAAATGCAAACCTTACTTTTCATTGAAAATTTAAGTTGATATTTTACTTGCTTGTTGTATAGTATATGACTAGACAATTGCAAATGCCAGGGATGATGTCATTCTCTTATATGATGAGTGGGCATTAAGGAGCTACATGGATGGATAGATGAAAATTTTTCAGATGACACTCACAAGTGATTGAAAAATAGAGATCAAATTGTTATTGCCATGTGATAACTAGCCCTCATGCATAAATACATCACAAGCTACTAATTGGGTTGAAATGGATATTAAAGAGGATCATATAGGAACGACTAAGTGAGCAATATCATCATCTTCTAAGGATTATATCCCACTAAAAAAGAGTTATGGGCATAGTGGAGCGAACTCTTCATCTCCATTACTATGTTGGCTGATAAGGCCACCCAAATTGCTAATGTAATTCAAAATACAACAATATAGCTTCTAAAGAAAAAAAAAAATTGAGTTAGTGAGAAGTTATCAAATACTCATGACTTTTCTGCGTTAAAATTTGTAATATATATGACAAATTATCTAAAAATAAAAAAATGATTCATTCCCTCCTCTCAACACATGAAATCAAGGCAAAGAACTAACAAGAATATTTTTTTTTATTTAGGACTTAATGATGGATTGATCATTTTGATTTTAAATATATCAACATTTTCAATTCAATTTCTTAGGTGTAATTTAGACTTATAAAGTAGTTGTGATCATTTTGGATATATCCTTAAATTATAGCGAATTATAATTTATATATGATTTTTTTATGATGCTTATTTGAAACTAATTAATTATTCTATATATTTTATAATTTTATTGAGAAAATTAGGGGCAAAACATGCCCAATTTTCATTAAATAATAAAATGGTTACGAAATTCAAAAAGGATGTAAGAAAAGCAAGAAAAACTTACAATCCAAAGAAAAAAAAAAAACTACAGGCTAGGCCTAGAAAACAAGACACAATCAACAATACTCAAACCAAATTAAAGCTACAAAAACAAAGTATCCCAATAAACAAAGAACTAACAACCCTAACAACATAAATAATAACATAAGAAGTAAAAAACTGCTGCCACAACACCCAAAAAGGACAAGTCCCTCCAAAGAGAGAATCACCAAGAAAATTGCCCTTCTAAAAGAAGAGCCAACAATAACCAGCCAATAAACCACGAACTAGCAACAACAACCGGATCAACCAAAGAAACTGAGTAAGTAAACCATGATCTAGAAACATCAACAAGATCTATAGACTGAATCCACGAAAAATAAGACCACGATCCTTCCAACAGCTTCAAAAATGATAATGGAGCAAATCCACGCAAGCATCCTCAAACCTACAGGCAAAAAAACCAAGCCCAACAAATCTCCTCTACTTGAAACAGAAAAACATAGAAGATAAACAAAAATAAGCCATAAAATAAACTTAAAAAACTTGTTACCAAACCGCCCAACAAAGACCATGCCCTCAACAGAGAGGAGCAAAAACCAACCAGCAACAACAACCACGACCAAGAAAGAAGTCCTTCACAAAGAAGAACCAACAACAACCATCTAGAACCTAAGATAGAGAAAACTAAAAAACCAAGCATGAAATACCAAAATCTAACAACAAAAACAACAGCCTCAACCAAAGCAACAACTAAAGCCCTGCCAAAAAATAATCAACAACCACAACAAAAATAACATAATAAACCCATGAAAGAAAAACCACAAACCACAAACCCACCAACCAAAACCAAGGCCAGAAACACCCCAACTTGCCAGCCCAACAACCCGCCACAAAGGAAAACCACTAACCAACAAAAAAGAGAAAGAAGAGCAAAAAAAAAAAAAAAAAAAAAAAAAACTTTTTAATATCCACCCAAATAAGGATTAAATTAAAAAAAAAAAAAAAAAAAAAAAAAAAAAAAAAAAAAAAAACAAAAACAAGCTATTAATGTCCATCCATATTAGGAATCAGTTAACAAAAATAACGAAAGAACCAACCAAACCAAAAATTAACAAAGAAACTAGAAATTTCAGAAAAAGAATTTCAAACCAAAATCTTAGCAAAAATCACATGATGAATAAGTCCAGAAACAAAATCCAAATTTTTTCAGTTCCCAGAAAACGCACTCTCATTTCTTTCGCGCCACAAAAAATATAAAGAAGAACAAGTAGTTAAAAAAGTAATAACATCAGACATTACAAGAGACATTAAGATCCCAATGAAATCTAAAACTTGAAGCAGATTAGGTTTAAAAAAGAATTAATTAAGACTAGGAATAAAAGAAAATAAGATGGAAAAAGAGAAGTTACATTCAAAAAATAAATGATTGTGAGCCTCTAAAGCATAATTACAAAAAACATAACCTGAATGAATAAAAATATTCCTTTTAGAAAGGATATCAACAATTTTAAGACTACTTAATAAAGCCATCGAAGCATAACAAGAGTATCTCAATGCATAATGTTTATGCCATGTATAATTATACATTAATAGACTTTAGCATACCCATGAAAATAAGCCAGGTAAAAGATCTTAAACTTTGGATGTAGCTCCCCCTCACATTTAATACTAAAAATCAAAGAGGTTTGAATATCAATGGAAACATTCAAATTGTACAAACAAGTCAGTAAAGACCAACTACCACTTGTGATAACATCCTTAATAGAAATATTATGCCAATAAGAATTAATATTAGGAATTAATTCATGCATCGAAAGACCCAACCAATGATCCCAGCAGAGAGATAAGTTACTGTCAGCAATGATAATAAATGAGACTTATCCTTAATAGAATGGGCAAGCTTAGAAAGACCTTTAATGCCTTATAAGAAGGTAGCTTCTACAGAGAAATATAACTATCTTTAACTCAATGAGACAAAAGGCTCTTAGCATTTAAAATTCTCCAAATCAGTGAACAATTATAAGCAAAATAAAGGGCATTAAGATCAAGAATTCCTAACCCTTCATAAAATTTTGCTTACAAATATCTTTCCAAGCAATGAGATGCATCTTCTTAGAATGTAAATTGCATGAAAAAGAAAGTTAGAACAACTCTTCCAAATAAACTTAGAACATAATTTAGAAATAATCATGCCTCTAATCCAATAAGCAATATAGTTCGTAATAGAAAATTTTAGAAATTGCACTCTACCCGTAAAAGAAAGAATTTTAGCTTTCCATCCTGATAATAAATCAGTAACCTTTTGAAACAAAGGTTGAAACTCAATAGCACTTAGCCTTCTAATAGAAATGGGGATACACAAATATTTAATATAGCTCTCAGAATAATAAAATTTCAATACTTAACAGATTTCATATTTTGCCAAGGCATCTTTAGAAAAGAGAGCCATACTTTTAAGTTGATTTACATAAATACCAGAGCATTTAGAAAAGTAATCTAAAATATCTTGAAGCTTCTTGGCATTACAAATCGTGGCCTTCCAAAAAATAAGCACATCATTCGCATATAATAAATGAGAAATGTGAGAATTTCCACATTAAAGCCCTCAAATTAATCACCAGAAATTCTGTTATCTAGCAAGTTTGAAAAAGCATCTATCACAATACAAAATAAGGAGATAAAGGACACCCTTATCGCAAACCAGAAGAAGAGTTAAAGAATCCTTCTAAAGAGCCATTAATAATGATATAAAAGTAAATATTTTCTATACAACCCTTGATCCATCTAATTATAAATTTACCGGGAAAACTTTTTTGAGCCATTCCATGAATAAAAAAATATCTAGATTTCGTATCAAATGCTTTTTGAATATCTAACTTAACACAAAAGTATTTAATTTTGCTAAAATTAAAACATCTCAAAATGTTAAAAGCTAATAAAGTATTATCAATGGAGATCCTCTTTTTGATAAAACAAATTATCTTAGATGAGTAATGATAGATATAACATATTGCATACGATTAGTCAAAAAATTTGCCACCGTTTTGTTAAAAAACATTGCATAAAAATATAAGCCTAAAATCAGAAATTTGAGAAGCATGAGAACAATTAGGAATAAGAGAAATAGCCGTAGCTTTAGCTACTTTATTCATATAACCAGTGGAAAAATAATGCAAAATAGCTTTACTTAAAGAAGGATAAACAATATCCCAAGCATTTAAAAAAAAAACTCAAAAGTGTAACAATATGGCATAGGAGCAGAAGAAGTATGAGCTAAAAAAATGACTTTTTTTTTAATTTCTTCCAAAGAAATTGGAGAAACCAGAAATTGAAATAGAAGGAATGAAATTACCTCTCGAAATATCAAAAATAAAAGCTAAAGAAGGCTTAGGAAAATTAAAAAGACTCTTATAATGAAGAATAAAATCATTAGTAATATCCTTAGGATTAGAAATTAAACCAGCATTAAAAGAAATAGCTTTAATAAAATTATGATTATTCCTACAATGAATATTGGAGTAAAGAAACTTCAAATTATCCTCATTATCCAACCGCTAATGTTGATTAAAAGAGCATTAACATCATTTAATTCAACATTCAACTTAATATCCAAACAATTATTCTGAATTTCTTGTAAAAATCTGCTCTGAGAAGAATGAAAATCATTAACTTGTTAGAAATAATATTTATATATTTTATATTTTACTTGGATGAAATTCAAGATATCAAATATTCATATTGCTCATTAGCTCTTTTAGTGAAACAATTATTACGTCCTCCGACCGGATGCAGAGGACCGGACTGCGTCCGGTCGGAGGCCAAATCCGGCCAAAAAAACGAGTTGTACCGAGCAATACCAAACAATAACGAGGAATACCATCATTTGAAGACCCAATACCGAGTTATACCGAGCTAAATACCGAGTTGTACAGAGTTATACAAAAGTTGTACCGAGTTTTTCCTAGAAAAACTCGGTACAACTCGGTATTTCTCGGTACAGCTCGGTATTGGTCTTCAAAGAATGACATTTCTCGTTAATATCAAATAATACATAGTTGTACCAAGCAAATACTGAATTTTTTGATAAGATTTTACCTCCAACCGGACGTTCCTCTACGTAATAAAAGTTCCTTTTAGTGGGCTAACGGCACCAAAATCCTAATAAAAGAGGAGACATCCTGATCCGATCAAGCCGTCCATCACCATAACGCACAATTCGGACGGTCAGATTCCACGTTCAAGAAAGTTTCTCGTGATTAGTGCACCGCCATTCCCCCAACGGCCGTTTTTTCTATGCGCCGTACGTGCGTAACCAGACACACAACCCCACCTCACAAAAGCCACCAAAAAGAAAAGAGTATTCCCCCAAAAAAGTATGAGTAACGCAGCTCTGTTCGAAAATATGACCGTTCGGTCTAGCATTCGATCCCTGTAGCCATCCCTGTAGCGGCCTGTCAGTCAAAGAAGAATGCAACACAAATGGCCACACAGGTAAATTCCTGGAGGATCAGCAGCCATCCGATCAGTAACAGAGGGCTATTAATCGACGGAGGAAAGTGGCGTTAGTAAAGTACAAGGCTCCCAACTCAGCCTGAGGCCTCAAATAATATAAAAACCTCAACTTTTTCATCTCAATATCGGTTTTGTTCTTTACCCGAGAGAGAGAGCGGAAGGAAACGGCGCAGAGCTCTCCTTTTCTTCTTCTTCTTCCTTCTCTGTCGATTACTCCCCCAAGTTCCGGTCTTTTTTCTTCTGATTGCATCTTATTGAAGTGAGATTTCAACGGATTCAAGTGGTTTCGCCAAGTATTTTCTGCTGCTTGATTTGAAGGGAAGAGAGAAGGAAAGCTGCTTCCTTGAGGGGCGGAAGGAATCCATGGGGGTTCCTTTGCTGCTTCTTTTACTTGCGTTCTCAGTAGCTCGCGCCGACGAAGGTATGCTGGCCACATCTCTCTTCAGCTAGAAATTTTCTTTACTGTTATTTTTCTTGTATTTCCTCTTTGTCACGGCGTACTGAAACTTAGTGGAGTATAGCTGTCTTAGCAGCTCCCTTTTCTCTTTCACATACAATAGTTGACCCAATTGCACCCAAGGGTAGATGGGCCCCACTGCTTAGCTACAGGTTCTGTAGTGTACATCACAGTGTCAGCTTTCATCAGTAGTAGCTGGTAAGTTAAATGCGGAATTCAAATTTTCAGCTTGGATTAAACTGCTTGAATCATTCTGTTTCTTGAGCATTGAATGTGTAAAGGAAAGAGAAAGTAGATTACTTAGGTTTATTAAGATTTTGTTTTCTGTTTGAGTAACTTCTGGACTCTGTCGAGGAATACTTTGAAGAGGATTTGGAAGGGGAAAGAATTTAATAAGATTTGTTGAAAGAGGTGTTAATCAGCTGGCTGTATTGTTGGGGGAGATTATATAGCTACGTATGTTGTTCTTCGCAGAGCAAAAGAGTGAAAAAATAAGAAGTTTGGGGCTCGGATCGATTTGTTCTCTTCATACTTCGATCTCTCTGGTCTTTGTTCTCTGAAATTTTTAGTTGGTGTGGAGAACAAATTCTTCCAAGTGGCCGGTGTTTGAGCTGACATGTTTGGGGTGTAAATGTGGGGAGATTATTCTGTGTAGTGTCCAATCAAGACGCGCCACATCATACAATGCACTGATATGGCCTCCAGAGGCGTCCGAACACGCACCTAATAATTCTTCATAAATGAGCGGCTTAAATAAGTCCAAGCTTCTTTATTGCGTTTGTCTTACTCATTGATTTTTGAAAATTTGACCGTATATGCCTCGTGGTATGCTTTAAAGTAGCCATCCTATTGAATGAATTTGATTCAAACTAATTTGGATTGAGATCTTCGTTCAAACTTGCCAAGGTTTAAAATTTGACCAATATTTGAACATATCTTTTCCTTCACACATCAGCATTCTCATCAAACGAGCTCATATTGTGAATTACTCCTCTCCACATAGCTCATATTGGTATGTTAGTTGAGAGTTTTGACTGTTAATTAAGAGATATTAGATTCTAGTTTTACGTATGCGATGTGTATGCGAGTTTGTCTTAATTGACCTAAATGTCATCGCTCACATCAATGTCCTAAGTGAGCTATCGTCGTGGCATGACTACTCATCATTGCGAAGATCTCTTCGCAACTTGATGTTACTACCATTGATGCCTTCCCCTGCGAACTTCGTCAGATAGGACAACGAGAGATTGTGATGTCTTATTCCTCTTTCCCTTTCAATAGTAATGCTACAAGTAATTTCAAAAACTCGATTTTTTTCACAGCGACTGCTTTGTTGCGAGTGAGATTTTCTCGCAAAATTCCTTCATCACACACCATCTAACTCGTTAATGCCCAATGCTCAATGTTTGAATCTAGGTTCAAATAAGTTTTGAACTAGCTTGAATTCGGCCTAATTTGAATTAATTCTTGCTGATTGTTTTGTTCGAAGCCAATTTTATGATATATTTCTAAAAAAAAAATTAAGGCATATAAGTCAACTAAGTCAAATTTATATAAGTTATGGAATAATTTTGTTACGCATAAATCAATTGTGTTAGTGTAAATAATATATTTTTTTTATAGAGTATGTACACTCACATGTTTGCCTGTAAGGGCATCTGCAACGGAACTCCAAATGCTTGAATGACGTCGCCTTCGAGCTCCAGCCGAACGCTGAAACTTCCATTATTTCCATGCGGTTGAACAGTAGGACTCCAATATTGGCGTTGAATTGTTCGTCATCGTCATTTTTCTCGGTCCATCGAACTTAACAAGAAGCGCGCGAAATAAAAAAAAAGATCGTTACCTTTTTAAAATGGAGTTCCATTGGAGATGAATCGCTGCATTTTTAAGTTTCACGGCATTTTGGAGTGAAAAATGCGATTTTTAGTTGGAGATGATCTAACATAAATCTCTATGTAACGGGTTTTCTAGCAACCCCACAATGTCACCCACAATTTGGAGAGATTATTATGTGCGGAGTCTGAACCGTCCGAAGACGAATCCGGACGCACCATGGCACCCCGATGCACCGGGCCTCGATGACGTGAGCCTCGGTGACGTGATACGTCCGGATTCACATCCGAATCCCAATGCTGCAGCTAATAATTTTAATTTTACCGCAATTTGACCGGAGAGTGAGACCGTGGCTACATCTAGGGCCAGAGGCTCCCTCAAAAGAAACCAGTGCAAACTTTTGGTAGAAATGCAACGGTGGGCCCTACCACTTGATATGCACTACTATAAAAATATATTTTTTTTTTTTTGAATAAAAAAACGGCACGGATATCTCATCAAAATTATTGGGACCAGTGTAATATTATATTCCTGTCAAACATTTATCCCGAAATTACAAAAAAAAAGTTATGGCATGATATTTTGTAAATTATCAAGATATTTGTGTAAAATATACAACATATAAAATGGAATAATTATTACGACTGTCTGTGTATTTTTCTTATATCAGTTAAATAAATTAATTTAATAATGCCATCAAATTTTATTTCTTACTATTTTATGGGGCTTGTATTTTTTTATTGTTTTTGTATGGGTTGTAGGGTTCATTCCAAACAATCCTTGTATTTCATCAAATTTACGCTGCTGTCCCCATTCGTGCAACTGCACCGGACCCACCTCTTCTTTATTCACATTTTCCCATAAAAAAGTTACATAAATTATTATTCCACATTAATATTATTTTTCTAAACCAAAAATATATAATGTTTTTACATTTTTATTGAGTAAAAAAAGAATCTTAATTATTATTTGTTATATCTAATTGAACACTCTTTGTATTTTTATATAATTTTTTAATGTTAGCTAAAATTCAAGGGTACTTTCGTCAATTAGTCCAAATAGCCTTCTCTTCCGGTCCGCTCGTCTTGCAGCCGTCTGCGCCCCAGCTGACCGCATACGATGTCCCGCCAGACCCACCTTGGGGGTCGTCGTTAAGCATTATTCGTTTTGTCCGATTTAACCAATTTGAAAATAAATTAATCATATCAATCATTTTCGTCAATCAGTCCGAATAAACCCAGTGAAGTTTAAAAAATTGGCTTTACTAAGCCTAAAAAATAATAATAAAAAAAAACTTAATTTTTTTTGTCATTGTCACTTTTTTGTTTTATTTTGATGGAGGCTCGAGGTAGTTGCAAATGAACCTTCGCAATTCCTTGAATATGCCCTTAATCCCTTGATTATAAAAAAATGTAGTGACTATTTCAGGCAGAATCTGTACATCGAGAATCATTTTGTTTTATGATTGTGAACAGGGGTGGAATCAGCTCTAATTTTCACGGGGGCAAACTTATAAGACATATATGTCGGGAGTCTAAGGGGGCAGTGCCCTCTGGTGGGGTTCGACCTGCCCGATCAGATATCGGGGTCAAGAGCAGCGCCCTTAGGGTATCCGGGTGGGCAGTTGCCTAAAAACTCTTATAATATAACTTTTGGAACATTAAAAGAAGAGGTGGGTCCACCATGATTGTGACCATTAAAAGCAGTTTCAAAATTAAACGATTCTTTATATCCGGACACCGCACCTAGTAGTCTCTCTAAAAACTGTCTCAAATGATAATATAGCTTTTGAAGAAATTATTTTGTATGGAGTTCGGATGTAGCTTGGCGTAATAATTTGTTTTCCTCACTTTGTTCTAGAAAGTTCTTAAAAATATTAATAATTTTTTTTAATTGCTCTTTCTTTTATAAAACAGGAGTCATTAGCCTAATTTAATAATGAAAAAAAAGCTAAATTAGTCAACATTTTTACATTAATTAGCAGTTCTAATTTTTACTGATCAGCTCCGCCGCCTTTGTCCTCAGGTGCCTTCATCGGCGTTAACATCGGCACTGCCCTCTCCTCCATGCCCTCTCCGACTCAAGTGGTCGCCCTCCTCAAATCCCAGCAAATCCACCATATCCGTCTCTACGATGCGGATCCTGCCATGCTCGCCGCACTCTCCAACTCCAACATCCGCGTCACCGTCTCCGTCCCCAACGACCAGATCCTCGCTGTCGGGCAGTCAAACTCCACTGCCGCCAACTGGATCACCCGCAACGTCGTCGCCCACCTTCCCGCTGTCAACATCACCGCCGTGGCCGTTGGCTCCGAGATCCTCACATCTCTCCCTCACGCCTCCCCTGTCTTATTCTCCGCCATACGATTCATCCACTCCGCCCTCGTTGCGGCCAATCTCGACCGTCAGATCAAGGTTTCCACTCCTCATTCCTCCTCCATCATACTCGACTCTTTTCCACCTTCTCAAGCATTCTTCAATCGCACATGGGAACCCATTCTTAGTCCGATCCTCAAATTCCTCCAATCCACCGATTCCTATTTCATGCTCAATGTCTACCCGTACTACGACTACATGCAATCCGATGGCGTAGTTCCGCTCGATTATGCCCTGTTCCGCCCGCTGCCGCCGACCAAAGAGGCCGTGGATGCCAACACTCTGCTTCATTACACCAATGTGTTTGATGCAGTTGTAGATGCAGCTTACTTCGCTATGGCTTATCTCAATGTGACAAATCTTCCAGTTGTGGTCATGGAATCAGGATGGCCTCATAAGGGCGATGCGAATGAGCCGGATGCTACCACAGACAATGCCAATACCTATAACAGCAATCTAATCCGCCATGTGCTGAACAATACTGGAACACCGAAGCATCCTGGTATTCCGGTGAGCACTTACATTTATGAGTTGTATGATGAGGATGAGAGGCCGGGGGCGATGTCCGAGAGGTTTTGGGGGTTGTTTGATGGAAATGGAGTGCCAGCGTATACGTTGCATTTGACTGGATCGGGGCTTGTGCTGGCTAATGATACAACGAATGAGACTTATTGTATTGCCAAGGATGGGGCTGATGAGAAGATGTTGCAGGCTGCGCTTGATTGGGCGTGTGGGCAGGGGAAGGTGGATTGCTCGGTGTTGCAGCAGGGGCAGTCATGTTATGATCCTGATACAGTGAATTCCCATGCGAGCTATGCCTTTAATGCTTATTATCATAAGATGGGGATGACTGTTGGGAGCTGCTATTTCAATGGGGTTGCGGATATTACTACTACAGATCCAAGTAAGTTCACTGATGTTTGAATAATCCTGTTATTTTGTTTTTAATGCTAACAATTTGATAGGTATATGGTGTTGTCTGAAAATTTGTCTTGTTTAGTTCATAAAAAAAGTTTGTTTTATACTTACAACAATTTGGAGCTAATCACTTATTACATTTAATCATACTAGTTGTGAGCATACACTAATTGTAGTAGTTTAGAGCTTTCACGCCATCTAGTAGTTTTATTTCTTATTTATTAAAGGTGTGAAATTATTTCAATGATTTTCAATATCAAGTCTTTTCAAAAGTGACATGAAAAAAGAAATTAATATTCAAGTAAATATTATTAAAGCGAATATGGATGTTGAACATATCTAAACAATTTTAAATGTAAATTTTAAATAATGTTTAAAATTTTCTAGAACATGTACTAGATAAATATAGGACTTGGCCTAGCACCATTCAATAGGAACAATTGAAAAAAAAAGTATTCATAATGCAGACCCCCCCAAATAATTGGGATGAGGATGATGATTATAAGAAGTTTTCTAAAGCTAAAATAAAAAATTTATTGAAAGATATTTAATATGATTTGTTCGCATTATGAATATAATTTAAAATGAATGGATGTATATTCTTTTTTAAAATGAAAAACTATGATATTCTATATTGGTAAAATATCATAGTAGTATAGAATTAGTACCTCACAAGCTGTGTAATTTTTCCTTCTATCTGGATTAAAAAAAAAAAAAAAACTTGTTGTATGAGTGTTGCCCTTGCTACTAACATTTCACACTTTCTGTTGTTTATTTTCTCCGGGACTCTTGGGACTTGGATCTATTCTAAACAAGAGGAAGCTGAGATTGCAATGAGTCGATTCTGTATATATTCTTTTACTAATATTTATTCACTTGAGGATTTTCAAGTAAATATATAAGTGGAAGTGGAAATATGTTTCAGATAGAGCTTTTCTCAAGCAAGCATTAATGAGATTGACGCCATAAATGACAGTGTGGATCGTCATGAAGCAAAACTTGTTTAGTTGTATGTTTTGACAGCAAAAAAACTTAATCTGCAATCCAAAACTAGGTTTACATACCCAACCCTGTAAACAATAGAAAATAATTATTGCAAATACATGGATAAAATAACTATGCCTTAGTAACGATGCCTTTTTCTCTACTCTTACGCAGGTCATGATACTTGCAAGTTTCTAGGAAGGTATGTTCTCTCTCTTTTTTTTAACCTTGTATTTTTTTTTTATAATTATTTTTTGTGTGTTTCTTTCCCGCAACTTGTACAACATTTCATTGCATGTTACAAAATGCTTGACTTTTCTCTTAGTTCTAGTTGAGCATGCTTTTTCTTGCATGAGTTGAAAATCGTAACTTTTTCTATTGTTCTAGATATGAGGTAGAAAAAAAGTGTGATATGACACATAGAGATGTTTTAATACATTGTGTACTTTGTCTTAAATGTTGTAGTGATGATCTAGTGGATCGGCGGAAGAATTGGATTTGCTAGAAGGAACCCCTACTCCAGGGAAAAAATGAAGCTTAATGCTTCAAAAGGGATATACTATTCATCTCCTCCCCTCCTTATAATACCTTACTTATATAAGCTAGTAAGAACATTCTAGAAATCATGTAACAAAAATGTAACAAACTAGGAAACATATTTCTAAAGCTGCATTTAGTTAAGATGCTTCCTACATAGTGGCGGAGCCATAAATTATATTCAGGGGGGGTCTAAATTAAAATAGTTATATTTGTCGTCTCATTCAGAAGGTTATAATATATTAAAATAGTTCCATTTATCGTCTCATTATCGAAGCCAAGAGGAGCTGTATGATCAAAATTAAGAATGAAAATAACATGATCCTTAGAGCTTAAAAGACAAACAATAATTGTGGAGCTAATATTTAATTTTCTTTTAAAGTTCTTGTGTAACTCCCCATTGCATCACATCATTTTGAATGCAGTCCTCCTGGGCCAAATAATACCATCCATTGTGCTGCCATTGAGCATGCTGACAATTATCATCTCTTCAATTACAAAACATGAAGATCTCATCTTAATGAAGTAATCTAGACCTAGCTCAGGGAAATGGTTCTTTATATGCACTTGAACCATGACATTCCAAAAGATGGCAACCCTTTGTGGTCTTTCATCAAACAGCTTGCGAGCTGATTTCTGCACAAGAGAATCAGCTTCTATATCAACAACACATACTTCAGGATGTTTTGGGTCAGACGCTTCACTTTCATGAAGAATTTACATCTCGAGTATTTGACTATGGCTAAAACCAACAGGCTTCCACTCTTTCTAGTCTACAAAAGATGAGCCTCTTTTCTTGAGAAAAACTCATATATCACTTAAAATAAGAGCTGTAGTTATACTAGATCCCATAAAACCGCCAATAATAGCAACTTTTCTTATGGTTCTCGAACAGTTTTTTAAAAATTCTTGATTCATTGAAAACTCTCGCATATCGTTAAACACATTGAAGGCGTATGCATTCTGTTTGGTTCGGACCATAGAACAAATGAGGAAACTACTTGTTTTAAGTGTCGAGCAAGTCCCACGGGTAACAAGCAACTAGAATGCAACCTGGTGACCCTTGGGACTTAGGAGAATGAGTGGTGCAAACGTGCACCAGCACGTCAATGACGATTTGGGTAGTCTCCGACCGGGCGGATATTGTGAGTCCCACCACAAGCTCGTGGAGACTACAATCGCTGACATGAAGCGAGGGATAATAAAGGAAGGGAGATTGTTTGAGTCTTTCTCATCCAAATTAGAGATGATACCATCTATAGTTATCTAGGTAGCCTTCTGCTGGCCCGACCAACGATCAGTGAATCACCCGAAACAAGATCCAGAAGATGCGAATATGAAAATCCTTGAGGCACCAGAACACGGTCACTGATCCCTCGAAGTCGAATCTCGGAGCTGTGTCCTCAGATTCTAAATACCTTTCCTCATCGCAGGCAGATTTACTCGATTAACTCATGGTGCTTCCATAATGTTGATGTGGGAAATCGCATCGGAGCAGATCGAGATCGCATGTCTAGTCACGAAGGAAATCATAGATGAAATCAGAGTTTGTTTGGGGGAGAATGGGATGCTAGGCACGAGATCGCACTCGACGCTAGGCGCGAGATTGTGGGAACGGAGTGGGAGCGGTAGTTGGCGCCGTTTTGATGGGTTGAGGTTGCGGATCATGTGCAGGTCGTGTGAGCGCGGGGCGCGGGAGCTGTGAGTTGGTGGTTGCGTGAGTGGGTTAGTGTCGTACGGGTTCGGAGGGCGAAAGCTAGGTCAGATTGCACAAGACGTCGATAACAAGCTTGGAGAGGAGCACGGGAGGGCTTGTTCTGGTGGAGCGCGGGCAGGCGTGCTAAAGCGTAGGCGAGTTGCGGATGATGACCATGAAATGGTTGCGGATTGCGTGGTTGGGCAAAGGATCTTGTCATTGGAGTGGAAGTTGGACGATGACAGGTTGATTGCGGGGGATCTGTTTGCGATCACGTGAAGCATTGGCGAATCACTGGTCGGGTAGCGGACCTCATCATTGGAGTGGAAGTTAGAGCAGAGGGGAGTAGTCGATAGACCATCCGCTTCGGTTTTGATCGTCATCGACCGCCCATCTTATTCAGTTTTTATCTTCGTCGATCGCCCATTTTCTTCGACTTCGATCGTCGATAATAGTCCATCATTCTTCATAAGGTCCAGACTTTGATACCAACCGATGTGATGGATCTGCGGAAGAATTGGATTTGCTAGAAGGAACTCCCACTCTAGGGAACAAACTAAGCTTCAAGCTTCAAAAGGGATATAATATTCATCTCCTGCCCTCCTTATAATAACTTATTTGTATAAGCTAGCAAGATCATTCTAGAAATCATATAACAAACATGTAACAAACCCGGTAACATATTTCTAAAGCTGCTTTTAGTTAAGATGTTGATCATTCTACTCAGATCTTAACCTTAGTTTTGTGTGTTTCTTTCACACAACTTGTCTTAATTAGTAATTATTATGATGTTTCGTTGCATGTGCATTATTTTTTATGCATTCTATCGAGCAACCTAGCATTGAAAACCAAACTTCACAATTTTCTAGCCTCAGGGAAAAAGGGGTTGGCAGTTGCCGATGTTTTTGTTTGACGCGAAGTCTTAAATGCTGGTAATCGTTAGCTACTTGTGATTTGTAAATTGTAAGCATCAACACTAAAGCATTTCAGGTGCTTGCATCCATCTATTACATGCGTCCTATCAATATGTTAACTGTAAAATTCAACTTGATTATAATGACCCATTCAAATGGTGAAATAACATTTTTCTTTAGAGGAATTTGCATATATATAATAAAATTCTTATATATTTACATATTTAACATCTAAATATTTATATTTATTTATATAACATTCACATAAAAAATATCGCTAATTATAAATATTATAACTTATTTAAATTGAACATACCTACTGCTGTCCATACTTTGGTGCGATTAGACAATAAAATAGTAGATTATAAATAAATATATAAATTTAGGTGTTTATTTTATGATATATGCATGTAAATTCTCTTTCCTTAAACGAATTTGAGTTGTTTACATGGAGAGACTATTCTGTGCGGTGTCTGGATGTGTTCAGAGGCTAATTTGGACACATCATATCGCTAAAAATTGTTAAATATATTGAGTGATGTGACGCATCCGAGCACCGCACGTAATAATTTTTCCTTTACATGTGATTATAGACAGCGTTTCCAATCAAAATCATAGTTTTCTCACATAATGGTTTGTACTTTGTACAGTAACGGGAAAAATGGCACGTTTCCCAATGGCACATCTTTGGCTCCTTCTACAAACTCTTCAGCTGAGAACAGTAATGCTCACCAGGATTATTATGGAACCGCAGCAGCAATCATTCAATTTATGGGAGTTCTTCTGTCAAACTTACTCCTATTTTAGGGCTTTTCAGCTATTCTCTGCTTAATTTGCTTGGAGAAATGCCGCTTGCTCAATTTTGTCGTCATAGGAATTAGACTCCGCTCTGCTTATCTTCTTTTTTATTTGTTTAGTTTTATTTTTGAGTAGATGCAGATATATTGTACAAAGCCAAGTGCTTGCGAACTTTTTGGACTGGACAATTCTCCTGCACTTTGATTGCCATTTTAAGCACAAGATTCATCTTATTATTTGTTCAGGTCTATTTGAGAAATTATTGTGTGGTTATTGAACGGCATTCAGAGGCGAATGAGAATGCTTCAGATCATTTTTTTTATTGTGTATCGTATTGTGTACCGCTCGGTATCGGGTGATGTAGCCCGTTCTGATTCGCCTCTGGACCGGTTCGATGACTGCACAGAATAATTTCTCGTGGTATTGATGCTTACATTTTGCACCTAGAATATTTAATAGAGTTAGTTCTAGAAATGAACACTAATCTCTTTGATGTGTTGATTGGGAGCTTCAGCTATCAACTAAAAAATTTTAGGTATGTGGTGTGTGTATGACGTCCGAACATCCAATCTATATGCAACACGTCACCCAAATACATTGGGACTCGGTGTATTTAGATGATGTGGCGCGTCTGGATTGATGTCTGGACGAATCCGGACATCGGACGTAATAATTTGCTATATGATTTTGTCTTAATTGACTTAACTATCTCTAAAAAAGTGTTCTGTAAAGAAAATTGAGAGATAGAGAATTATATTAGAAGATCATTTTGATTTCCTTAAAAAATAATTAAAGTAGTTCATGATGGAATTATTTTGATTCTTTTTTTAAGGAGTTAATGGATTAAAATTACTATTTTTACATAATTGATGATTATTTTGATCTTTATAAATAGTCGATGGATTATTTTAAATCTTTTTTCTTGGATCATTATTCTCGAACTTTTAGTGTATTGATTAGAAAAAGAATTGATAGGTCTTATTGGATTATGGATAATTAAATACGATGATATGCATAGGCTGCATAGCAGCTTCACATTACCTCACATTACCTATAGCTGAACTTCTCATAGCAAACAGACAAATGCTACCGAGTTCGCATTAAAAAATTGTGTTAGGATATTTGATATTGTTCGTATCAAAATGATTTTAAACATTTTTAAATTGATTTTACGAATAATATTATATTGAAAAACATTTAAAGGATACCTTACTTTCTTATATTAAATGAGTTTTTATAATTGTTTTAATTTTTTTTCATTCATTTTGTTATTTTATTATAATAGTTGTTTGAATTATAATCAATTTTTTTCTTTCATAATAAATGAATCGGCTTGCACTTGTAGAATTAAGCTCAAGCTAAAATTTGATTAGTTAATAAAGCTCAAGTTAGGAGTGACTTGAACTCGACTTGGCTTGTTTATACTCCTAATTGGGAGCAAGCATGCTTGGTTCAATATGAAAAATTTAGCTTGACCTATTAAAAATAAAAACAAAATAGTTAATAAAGAACATACAAATCCATCATAATTTTTTAAAAATATATAAAAAATCAAATTTTTTTGTAACTCTTGAGTCAATTAAGACAAATTCATGTATTACACGGCTCACATTGGTCTGTCGATTGAAGTTTTGTGTCATTGAGAGACCTTTGCCCAAGTCACCCGTGTGGCCTTAACACTCATTCATTGTGCTAAGTTAACCTAAAACTCATACAATGTTTGGCTAGATATTAAGGAATGCTAGAGAGGAAGTGAATGGGGGAAACTTCTACAAATGAATTTTATAGGAGGGGTTGGAGGGAGTTGGAGGAGTTGGTTACAAATGAAGGGGATGGTCTTATTTACAGCTCACCTCTCATACCTAAGAACATTCTAGAGTTCTCTCCAAAATACATGAGTGTGGAATTCTCTAGAATACATCACATCATTCCCTACACACTTACATACATCTATAATATTCTAGAGAATTTTAGAGTATATTAGAGTACTCTCTAGGTATCCACACTATCCTAGAACATTCTAGAGCACAACATTTAGGTGTGGTTCTAAAGGACTTCTTCGTTTCTACTCAACATTTCACGGCCACGGGGTTTAGCCAAACTTCTTGTTCCAACATTTGGGTGTGACATTCTCCCCCACCTATTCTTGTGATGCCCTCTTTGCGAGCCTTCTTGAAGTCATGTTGAAGGTCCTTGGATCGCCACATGTACATCCTGTATAGCTGACTCTCTTAGTCCTTCACATTTTTCCACAGGTTGGATTTGTGTCACCTTCTAGAGCCTCAACTACTTTGGACCCTAGGTTGCCTTCCTCATCGTTTGCTAGTGCATTAAGGACTTAGGATTTCCCCTACTATCTTGGCGCCTTCTCTGGCTGCTCCTTTGGCAAGACATCCAAAGGTACATCAAAGACTTCCATTATCCCTGTTGGCAAACCTTCAACTTGTGCCTCTAACTTACCCTTAAGAATTAGATGGTCATCCCCATCCCTTGGTATATATTCCAAGACTTGCAACTCCTTGCCCTTGGAGTTGTCTCCCTCTTGTCCATGCTCCCATAGCACCTGTGTAGCCTCCACTTGATCAACACCCTCACCATTAGCCACCCCTTTACATTTTACTACGAGCATTGAGGCCATTTTAGGGCAATGCTTTGCCCAATGAAGTGCTATGCAAGCAAAACAAACATTTTTAATTCTTCTCTACTCCTTGCTAACCCTTGTCTTGCTCCACCCATTGTCCATTACCCCTTGACCACCTATTTGCCTCTCTTGTTGCTCTAGCCCTGACACATTGAATTCTTCTATAAAGCAACTGTGGTTGGTGGTGGATGTCTCTGCCAAGGTATGCCCACAATCCTCATGTAGGTCTCCAACTTGAGCTAGCGTCCCTTTGATCTCCCTCTTGAGCTCTCCATACACCTCTACTTTGTCCATCAAGGATTCCTCTAGCCGAGACACCATGCCTCTTCTCGCAACTTAGATGGTTCCACCAAGCTAGATATCTTTTTGGACTTCCCCCATGGTTTGGATGCTCGATTACACCGCTCATCCATTCCTTGGCTTCCCCATGATGACTCCACGCTTTCCATACAAACCATGCCTCCTCTTAACCTCAATCATTGTCTTGGAATTGAACATGCTCTAATACCACTTGTCACGGAAATGCCTTGCCCAAGTCACTCATGCGGCCTTAGCACTCCTTGTGCTAAGTTTGTCTAAAATTCATGTAATGCTTAGCTAAAGAGCAAAGAATGCTGGATAGAAAGTAAAAGGGGAAACTTTACTATTGCAAGAGAACTTGTAACAAGAAGACTTGGAGGGGTTTTGGGAGAAGTTGAGAGATATAGGGAGTTCATTCTTACATAAATCCATAATACTCTAGAGAGTTCTAGAGTATCCTAAAATACTCTAGAGAGTACTCTAGAAAACTCTGGGCCTATCTAAAACCTTCTAGAATCTTTCAAAATCTTATGAAACATTCTATTACCTTCTAGAATCTTCCAATGTCATGTGACTAGGAATGGCTCTGGAGAACTTCTTCGCCTCTGCTCGACATGTCACGCCAACGGGTTTAGTCAAACCTCTTGTTCAAACATTTGGACATGACTTTTGGCTATCAATCAAGAAGTTTTTAGTTCAAGTTTTGAATATGTGATATATTTGTGATTAATCTAAATGTCCAAAAAAAAAAAAAGAACATTTTACTTTTTCAAGTTAACAATCCAAATTTTTTGATTGATATTGAAAGCTCGGAACCAACATATCACTGCATTTTTGCATTGTGGGGTAGCGAGGGCAGGAACTTTAGTGCCAGATCCACTAGCCCTTCTCCTCTCCAAACAGTAAAGGTGGTTGGCAGAGTATAACTACTGCTACTGTAGCAGCAACCAATTTAGAAAAGGTAGAGAATGATTAGCAGAAGAGAACTTGACTAGAATATTTTTACTTAAATTTAATCATTAAATTTTATTTTAAAATAAATATAATAATTTATTTATTATTTAATTATTATATTATAATTCAAATCTCATAATGATAATTTTGAATCATAATATTCACTTTTTTTTTTAAGCAAAGCAATTCCACTGCCCTTTGATAATCAAATTCTCCATGCAAGAGAGAGAGATGGAGATTTGCCAGCAAAGAGTGCGAACAATTATAAGAAGGGCAAAAAGAGCAAAAGTTAGGTTTCGTTTGGGACGGCTTTCTTGTTGCTTCTTAAAGCAGTTTTCTAGTACAAAAATTTTAATTATTGAATTAGAAAGCTGCTTTAAGAAGCAACAAGAAAGCCGCTCCAAACAAAGCCTTAATTCCGCTTCCTCCACCAATTGCTGCTTATTACTGCACCACAATTGTTACCTCGCAAGAGAGATATTATTTTGTGCGAAATATGGACATAGAGAATCATTCGGATTTATGACTGTAAACAGTAAAAACACAATTATTATTCACCAATGTACTTTTATTGTTCATAGTCACAAAATCAAATGATTCTTTGTGTTTGAACTCCGCACATAATAATCTCTACTCTCGCAACACATCATCTCCATCTTCCATCAAACAACATTTCCAACTACTGTCATTATTGAATATAATTATATTCACTTTTATATCTCCGACCACTATTATTGTTAAACTTTATATTACATTCACTTTTATAATGCTCCATATTTTTTAGCAAATCAAACAAGTCCTAAATTAATACATAACAACATCTATCAAATAAAAACCTTATTTCTTATTCTATGATATTCTAATTTTATAGGATTATTTGCTAATAAAAGATTTTATTTATTGTAACCAATTAAAAGGTTATATTTCGAATTTAATATTTTCATATATTTTTTGATAATATTTTTGCAAAAAAATAGAAAATAACATTAAAAAAGGATTTCCTAAAATTATTGAAATCAGTGAAGAATGAAGGAAATAAAAACTAAAATTAAAAATCTTTGTAAACACATGCACTAACATACAACATGAAATCAGAGTCTTTACACCCAACAAAAGCACACCAAAAAAAGGAAAATATACACTCAGAAGTAAAGAACCGTTGCCAAGAAAACATAAGACACAGAATGGTTATCCTAAGCTTTTCTGCTAAAAGTAAGTTGTTAGATATCTTCCTAGTATCTGCTTAAATCTTTCGTTTGGGACAACTTTACTTCCCCTTTCAAAAGTAGTTTTGTACTAAAAAACTACTTTAAAAAGCAATAAAAAAGCTATCCCAAACAAAACCTAAGTATCTGAATCACTTCTAAAGCTGTAAATCAAAGCAAAAGCTATATACAAGCCAGCACAATCCTTCCTATATTGCCTTCACAGAAAGTATCATACAGATGAAGCAGACTTCAGACGACGGCGGCGAATCGAAGTTGAAAGCCGCCTCACTAATCTATCCAAAGCCTCTCTCATCCATTGATGCTCACATCCTTCCATTGCCTCTGCCACAGAGACCTAATGCATCGTCGAAGTACCAAAAACAATAAGACAACATAGACAAATAAAGAAGAATTGCAGGCTGAAATGTTTAGTATCTAAACTTACCCAGCTGCGCTTCCTCACACTCATCTCAGGCCATTGGAGAAGCTCATCTGTTACATTCAGTGGAAACATTACTCCCTCATTTACAACTTGTAAGCTGGTTCTGTATTTCCATGTGCCCAATCTTCTCTGAAATTCACTTTTCAAAGATAAATAGATGAAATATTACTAGGAAAGATGAATAAAGACTTGAAGCACACCTCTACATTTCCTTGAACGCCAGCTTCCTCTAAAGCTTCTCTAGAAGCTGCTTGTTTTATTGTCTCATCGCTTTCCCAACCACCCTGTCAATTGCATATAAAACTTGATGAGCAAACAGTGGTAGAACTATATTTATCCTGAATTTAATCAGATAAAACGTTAATATACAAGATTATAAGAGAATTTTAAAATACAAGTTTTTATATTATACATTGTTACATATAATTTTTATTCCAAATAATAATAATAATAAAAGAATAACCTCTAACCTCTCTCTGATTTCACCACTATGATCAAGCAATAAAACAATATCATTTCATCACATCTCACTTCTCACATTTCCACAAAGTCATCCCATGAACCTAAAAATCTGTGTTTTGAAATTAAAAATCCAAGCTTTTCAATATTTTAAAATTTCAAGTTAATTATTCAGTTTACAGTACTGTTTGGCTTCTAGTAGGAAGGACAAAATCCTGCAAATCATTAAATTTTACCAAGTCCTGATAAATTGTTTTGCTAACTGTTTCAAGATTTGAGATTTACGAGTGAAAGATATCCTTAAATCCATCAAATATTGTGAGTGAAGTGATTTAATAAATTCTAAAATTAACAAACAATGATGATGAACCAGAATTCATGAATAAAGTAAGATTAAAATCCTCAAAACTTTGTTAGGCAAGATTAAAACTAAGTCTTGCTTAAATAAATACTTACCAAAATAGAATACAAAAGAGACCCTAAGGCAAATTGCCAAAGTTATAAAATAACATGTAACATAGAAAAAACACCACCCAGGATGAAGAAGATCATCCATCTCAAGGCAATAGAATGTTGAAAGGTAGTAACAGTTGTTGAAAATTAAAGCAAGATTGCGTCACACAATTGCAGCAACAATAGTATGTAAATACATATATAATAACTCGGATAAAGAAAACAGATATTGTCTGCAACAAACATATATCGATTGGATTGATGGAAAGTGGGGGATACGAAAGGAAATCCCAACACTGTATTGGTTCACTTTGAATTTAGTCTTATTAAAGTTTTTTTTTTATTATTTTTAAATTTCATTTCAATCCAATAGAATCCAAACACAAAGAGGGAAACCATAGAATTAGCACATAAAAATTCATTATTTTTTTCTGTCAGAAACAAACGACGACTTGCTATGTAAAATATTTATATGAAAATTGTGTACCTTGGGAAACATCATTCCATGTCCCTTCTGAGAACTGATGACAAGAACCTCCAATGAATTAAGCAAATCACTACTTGAACAGTTCACGTTGAACTTATAAGGAATGCATCTGGAAACCAAATAAAACAAATCAAAACACTACCATTGCTAAAAGCAAATCATCAAAAAAACACATCCCATACTAAATTAACCGCTGCAAATCCCCATTTGTTCATCTCAGAACACAAAAAACAAATAAAAGGGCGAAACCATCATTATAAAAACGAAATATCTTTCTCGGAAAGCCCATCAAAATCGACAACGAGCCCAAAGATATTGCCATAAACCAACCCGGCAACGAGGCGCCCTCCGGTCCTGGTGTAGCGCTGAAGCTCCCTTCCCTGCCGCGCAGTCAAAGAAGCCATTTTAACCGAATCCTCTCTCCGCTGACGTACCTCTTCCACCAACTTCGCCGTCCTCATATAAGCAAACGAGGATTTGTTCCACGGCAACCGGCCACAGTGACGGGCTTTTATAGAGGAAGGGAAACACAGAGGAGAGACGAAGCCGGGTAGTTTGCGTAGAATCTCTGGGAGTTTTTGGGTGGACCGGGTCGGATCTTCATCTCGGGCCGTCAATGCAGGGAGTTCGCTTGTGGCGCTCTCTTCCCACGACCTGGTACGCGCTCTGATCGTCGCAACGTGCTGGCGGTTGTAACGGTGAGTTTACCGCCTGTGGCGGGAAGTGTGTTGTTCGATCTAAGGTTTAAATTTCGAAATTGAAAAATCAAGATGGAGGCGCTAATAGCTTGCGGTAAGGAATTTTTTTCTTAGACATTTAGCCATTTAGATTAATTAAGATAAAAATCACAATTACAAAATAAATTATTTTTACACAATTATAAATATTGTAAGCATAGTTATTAAATTGCAGTCGTGAAGTTAAAAAAGAAACTCTATAAAAAAATAATAAAAAAAATAAAATGACGGCATTGATAGCTTTCTCACTGGGTACATTTGTCAAAATATATTATAAAATTTATTACATTTTCAAACAATATACGAAGTCTACGTAGTATGCGTATGAAGACCAGCATTAATTATCTTACGTTGATTTTCATTTTTTCAGAGTACTCCACTGATGTTCTCAAATTGCAAAATAAGTCCTTTCTATGGGAGAAAGGTCATAATTTCGAGAAATTATTAGGTGTTGTCATCAGAAGTCATTCAATGGCAAAAAAGAGCACCTCACATCATCATTTTGCTATGAGTCGGTGTTTAAAATGCTGCTATATATCAAATGATTTGATGCATCTTGATTAGCCGTTGAACAGTCAGATGATTGCACGTAATAGTTTTTCTAGAAAATAACATGATTCCTGGTAAATCGAGTTGGGCTGGGCGTCAGCTACATCTTGTCAATTTAGAGGAAAATTATTACGTTTGGCGTCCGGAGGCGAATCTGGATGCACCATGTCACCTGGACCCGGTGCATCCGGGTGGGTCCGGGTGACGTGGCTCGCCCGGAGTCACCTCCGGACAGTTCGGATGCCGGACGTAATAATTTGCCCAATTTAGAACTGCAGGCCGGTTAAGAAAGTTTTCAGGTATATGTTTTTTAATGAGTTGGGTCAATCGGTTCGGGTCAAAAATGGGGTGGATCGTTTTCAGGTCTACCGTCTATAACAAAGTCTTGTCTGACGAGAGAAGGGCTGATTAGCAGAAACGGGTTCAGGTGAAAGAACTGAACATTCAATCTTCTGCGCCGATAATTTTGGTGCTTTCATGCAATGAAAAGGTACACAGTCAGCTGCTGCTTTATTAAGAAATTCGGGGGATAGAATGTCCAGAACCTTACTTCAATTTGAAAAATAACGAACTGATGTAGACTTAGTTTGTGATAAATTTTTTTACTGTTTTTTAAAATAAAAAAAAAAATTTATAAAATTTTTTATTAAAAAGTTGCTTAAGAAATCATTAAAAAAACTATCCCAAATAAAAATTTCGTTTGAAGTAACTTTTGATCACTATTTTTTCACAATTTTCAAGAAATTTTTGTACTAAAAAAATAAAAAAATTAAAAGAAATTTTTGTACTATAAAATTACTTTAGAAAACTATAAGAAAATTATCCTAAATAAATTCCTAAATTTCTTTTGAGACAACTTTTTTACTGCTTTGTAATGCTAATATAGAGAAAATAACTTTTTAAGCTCTTATAAAAAGGAACTTTTTAGTACCATTTTTTTGAAAGAAATAAAAAATTAGTGATCGAATAGAAATTATGATTAAGATTTAGAAGGCAAAATAATAAAAAAATTATCTCAAATGAAGCCTTAAAAAAACATGTAAGCTAAATAAGTAGAGCTGACAATAAGGAAATTTTCTCTTTAGTTTTCTTTATGAATTTCAGATGAAAATTTGTTAGTAATGTTAAGCCCTTGTGAACTCGGGGGGTGTGACTAGGTGTTTTAAAAATTTCTTAATAAAAAACACAATCTTAAATCAAACTAAGATTCTCCACAAGAAAATCAAAGTGCTGAAATTAAATGCGGAAAAATAGTAAGAAAGAACACACAAGAATTTCTAGTGCAATACTCGAAAGAGAGGCTCCGGGGAGTGGACGTAGGTCAAGTTGACCGAACCACTATAAATTATTGTGTATTCTTTCTTTCTGTTTTTTGCATTTAATTTCTGCACTTTGATTTTCTTGTGGTGAATCTTAGTTTGATTTAAGATTGTGTTTTTGATTAAAAAAATTTTAAAACATTAATTCACCCCCTCTTGATTAGTCTTAGGATAGTTCAAAAGGTCATAACATCCCTAACTAACTTTCAAGTGGTATCAGAGCACTTTCACCAGAGCCCACTCGCAAAGTGCACATTATAAGTGATATAGGACTATTAAAGGAATATATAAAGTATTTATTAACAAAAATATAATCAAAGCTTAGGTTTCATTTGAGATAATTTTTAACTTTTCTTTACTACTTCTAAGAAAATTTTGTTCTAGAAAACTGCTTTAGAAAAGAGTAGGAAAAATGTCCCAAATGAAGCTTTAGTCCATATGAATACCCTAATTGTTAAATTTATTTTAAGATGAATGAAAAACGAAAAATTGATTCAAAATTAATATTATAGTTATTTAAAAGTATTCAAATGTAGATGTCTAGGTTGTGTTGTTTGTCACAATGTATATTTTTAGGAGGTAATTTGATTGCAAGTATTTAAAATTCTATTACATTTTAAATTTATATAAACATCATTGCAAAGTAAACTTACTATAGAGCTATGTTGGGGCTTTTTGATTATAAGTAAAATGGGTGTTGATACACCATCGAAAATTGCTTTGATCGAGCACGAATCTCGAGGCATATTCAAGTTAAAAACTTTCAAAATTAAATTCGGGATCATCTGAATTCCAATTTCAACAAACTTATGGTCAAACTAAATGTCTCAAAGATAAGAACCTAACGACACCAAATTTGGTCCAACCCGAGCCCAAATAAGTCCAAATCGAGGGCTCGAACCTCATTTTGAAGGATCAAAGCATTATTTGGATGACAAAATGATATAAAAAAATGGCATGCTTATAATCAAATTGAGTGGCTCGGCAAGAAGAATCCAACAAGCCCAAGATTGATGAATTCCGACATCATTAAGGCACTGAAACAATTGAAAAACCTTATATGATCGGGGGAATCAATACGAGCCATCCAATGGAGCACTCCGAACCTGCCCCAAATCTTCTCTATATTTACGGTGTGTGCCACTCATGAAAATCTATAAATAGACCTCCACTCTCTACATGAAGGGGACCTTTAGCTAGAGATTGGAGAGGGCTCTCGAGCTTCAAGAGCTCTAGTACCACTGCCCGGCCGCCGATCGTCGTCCAACCACCGCCCGACCGCCAATCACTGCCGGACTTCCACTTGGTTGCCGACCACCGCCTGACTTCAACCTGATCATTGTCGGACCACTGCCAGTCCACCGACCGTTTGTCAGAATTCCAGCCGGTCGCCGACCAGAACCGGACTTTAGCACAATCGTCTCTAGGCCTCCACCCGGCGGCCGACCACCATCACCAAACTACGGTCCTTCCAACCTTCATCATCAGCCAAGTATGGTCCTTCTGACCTTCTCTACCGAGTACAATCCTTCTGACCTCCTCCGCTGACTAAAGTCTTTCCGATCTCCTCTGTCAACTACGATCCTTTCGACCTCCTCCGCCTACTACGGTCCTTCTAACCTCTTTCGTCGACTACGGTTCTTCCGACCTCCTCCGTCGACTACGGCCCTTCCAACCTTCGTCGCCCGCCAACTATGGTTCTTCCAACCTCCTCCACCGAGTACGGTCCTTCCAACCTCCTCTGCTTACTACGGTCCTTCCCGACCTACATTGTCCGCCGACTACGGTCCTTCCAACCTTCGTTGCCCACCAACTATGGTCCCGCCAACCAAACAAACAAATCAATGTTTGTTCTTCCAATTTCCACTATGTAATGCACTCTATATGATGTATATTTGCTACATCAAACCAAAATCTTTCCCCCAAAGAAGAGCCTAATTTGTAATTGATTGCAAACGCTAGTGAATTCAATCAAATTGAGCCAGGCCCCGTGGGTTTTCCCCCTTTTCAAGGGTTTCCAAGTAAAAACTTTGGTATCTCTTATGAACGCTACACCCTCTATTTTATCTGATTGCGTGTTGGACCTACGTGCAAAGCTAAGCTGTTAAACAATATATTTATCTATTGCCGCGTATATTCAAGGACGCAACAGGTGTAAATTATCTCAAATGCACGAGTTTAAAGGTATTTGTGTTTGGTTTTAATGTAAAAAAAAAATAGAGTAGAACTTTAAAACATTTAGAATTCATCATCTAGTTTAATTTTGATATATTTGAAAATCTACAGACTTTGTTCAGTTTTAGATCGTTAAATGACAAAAGATTACAATATCATTAAAAAAAAAACCAGAAGAAAGACACAGAACAAATTTAAAAGCCAAGCACAGAAAATTACAATAGAAAGACAAACTTGCAAACTAGGGAATAAGAAAAACCTCTGGGCGATCATAAGGATGTGAACTGAATGGTTGGCTTCACTGATCATTGTCCATTTGAAAAAAAAAAAAAAGGAAAACTCACAAACCAGTGCCAAATTTCATGGCAAAATATCTGTAAATGAATCCTTAATAAATTGATAGATTTCCCATTTGGAGAGTTTAATACGCATAGCCAAACTTTACAGCATTGATTAGAGCAGAAGGGCTACCCCAATTTCCATTAAATTTGTGATTTTTTTCCTCTCTCCTTAAGGGATAGATGATGCAGTATATCATTAAGAAGCAAAATTTCCTTTCTCCTTTATTAAATTGATAAGAACCACAATAAAATTTTTCAGCAATTGCGTAATAATCTCTATGCAATACAGAATCACATGGTGAAAATAACTACTGGATCAAAAAGTGTAGAGAACTAATTTCTCAAATTGGAGATCTCATGCTTATACGCCTGCTACCTTACCAACAAATTTTACTCAATCAAAGACTATATTACAAGTTCTTGGTGTGATGTGCTTTATGATTTTTCTCTTTATTTTGA